TCAGGGGTGGAGGGGGTGGGGGAGGGGGGTGGGGGAAGGATGGGTTGAAATTTTAGTAGTTCAGATAAGTAGAAATAGTTTTTATTGTATATAATATTGAGGTTTCGATTTGGAGAGAGGAATTGCTCGGGCATTTCCCCCGGACCGCATCTGGAGTGAGAGGATAGAAGAAGGTGAGAAGTAAGTAGGAAGGTGGAGGAGAGGGGGTGAGGGAGAAAGAGAAAGAAGAGGGAAAGAGGTAAGTTGGTTAGAGGATGGATGCGGTTTGGGGGGAAATGGGTGAGCAATACTGAAAATGGTCTGTATTAATTTGTCTTATTTTTTATCTGAAGTATTTTTATGATTGTATTGTATTGCAAAATTGAAAATAAAAATTAAAAAAAAAGAAAAGAAAATAAGTTGCATCCAAACTACCACATCTCCACCTATAAAACATTTTATAAAAAATTTCTCTCAAATTTTGAGCTTGAATAAATTTTACGTTTCTAACCCAAATTGTCTTCCATGTATCCAATAGAATCGGCTCTTGAATATTTTGTGCCCATTTTACCATACAATCTTTAACTAATTCTGTTTCAGAATCCAATTCTATTAAGACATTATAAATTCTCTTTATACGAGCTAGAGTTTGATCTTTAATCTGTTTTATCAAATTCGCATCCTCTAAAGTAATGCCAACCTTTTGATCTAAACTCCACCTAACTAACAATTGATTATATTGAAACTAAGAGTGTACAATATTTTCTTGCTTCAACTCAGCTAAAGATTTTAATTGCCAATCCTTCCCTATCAAATCAAGTAATTCCTTATAAGAAATCCTATCCAAATTCACTCCTCTAGTTACCCCCTCTATCATGTGTCCGGGAATCCCCCAAATTGGAATTTTATAATTTAACCTATAATAATATTTCTTCTAGACACGTAATAAAACATTTCTTAAAATGTGAGATTTAAAAGCCTGATCTACTTTTTTTATTATAAATTAGATATGCGTGCCATCCATATAATAAATCCCATCCTTCAAGAGAAATAATATTTTTGTTTGTTAAGTTGAGCCAATCACTAATCAATGTTAAAGCCGCCGCATCATAATACAATTTTAGATTAGGCGCCTTGAGTCCTCCTCTTTCCTGTGCATCTTGTATAATCTTAAACTTAACTCTTGGTTTTTTACCTGCCCAAATAAACTTGTTAATCCCTTTCTGCCATTCCTCCAAGTTAGCATCTTTTTTCAAAATAGGTATCATTTGAAACAAAAAAAGAAACTTTGGAAGAATATTCATTTTGGCTGTAATTTTTTCCAATCATTTAAATCCTTTTGCACTTTTACCCCTAATATCTCATAATTATGCAATTTAACATTAGAAGCTGTAATATATACTCCCAAATATTTAACCTTTCTCACTATTTCATAACCTGTTAATTTAACTAAAATCTCCTTTTCCTTCATAGACATATTTTTCGATAATATTTTAGTCTTATTTTTATTTACTTTAAAACCAGAAACCTTCCCATACTGGGTTATAATTTCCACCAAATCCCTTACCGACTCTGTCAGTTGAGATAATGTCACAACCAAATCATCTGCAAAAGCTCTCAACCTATAGTCATTCTTATTTATTTTTATTCCCTTTATTATAGAAGATTCTCTAATTTTAATAAGTAAAATCTCCATTGTTAAAACAAATAACAATGGAGATAAAGGACATCCCTGTCTTGTTCCCTTTTCAATAAGTCCTTGCTGCCATTCTTGATTATTTTAGAAATAATTATTTTAGAAATAGAATTTCTTTTTCTTTTTTTCTGGGCTGTAAGCCAAATACTTTTAGACAATAACAAGTTGAAATGTCAGGTTTAGCCACAAGATGTCACTCCAATGTTATTTTAATCTTTTCAGTTTTCAGTTTTCAATTTTAAGGAAAACCTCAGATCTTCAGTAAAAGTAAAAGCAAAGAATAGAAAATAGAAAATCTTTTAATCCACAAGCTTTAGGAAATAAAATTCCAATTGGGATCCCGTTATTTTTTCAACGTTTTAAACTCCCCTGGATAATCCATTGCCGCTGTTTCTAGAGGGAGGGCTAAAATCCCCCTTCCCTCTCCACTGGGGGGGAAATACTTTAGCAGCTTATATAGGTAAAAAAAAGGTAGATAGAATTTAAGAGAGGTAAATCTCACCTAGTCTCTTCCATGCTGCTTTAATGTTGCCTGGTGGTAAGTGTGACTTCGGCTGTCCTTAGGTCTTCCATCTGCCAGTTTGGAGGGTAATGCCAGCTCTAGCAGGAGAGCTACTGCTCTCTCGCGATCCACCGAGAGCCCCTCCTTACTGGTCACCTCTACGGGGCGACTTTTCAACCCTTTTAGGGCCACCAAGAGATGCGAAATTGGATGAGGAAGACGGAGCTCATCTTCCAGACGTCCATGTCAGCCATGTCAGCAAACAGAAGTCTGCTTCCAGAAGAAATAATCAGGAAAATACTGGAATGTGCAGAGATGGACAGATTAACTATGAGGTTGAAAGACAAAGAAGATACAGACTACAATCAAATTTGGAATTTATTTTATTCTTGGTTAGAGAAAAGAATGAAGGATTAGGAATTGAACATGTATTAGCTTAACAAATTCCAGACAACTTTGTTGATTGGAAAAATTAACATATGTTGATGAAAAAAATTTAATTAAAATAAATAAATAAATAAATAAAAAGAGGTCTGCTTCCAATTTCTATCTGCTGTGATTCTAAGCAGGGTTTTAAAGAAATGTATTAAGAACTTGTCCCAAAGATGCTTTTTCAAGAAGCAAGTGGACTTTGTTTTTCTTTGAAGACATTTCACTTCTCATCCAAGAAGCTTCTTCAGCTGTCTGAAGAAGCTTCTTGGATGAGAAGCGAAACATCTTCAAAGAAAAACAAGAAAGTCCAATTGCCTCTTGAAAAAGCACCTTTGGAATAACCATGACCTGGATGACTGAGAATCTCCATAGACATATTAAGAGCTTGGATTTCTTTATAATTAACAGGCATTTCTATTGCATTGTCAATTAGCCATCATGTTTTGTGTGTACATCGGATTATTTCAGGTCAGAAGTAAACAACAGTAAATTCACACATCTTAATTAGTCTAATGCAGAAATTACGCACATGTGGATTTTTAGTTATGGTAAACAATACATAACCATTTTTAAAATTATTTTTAAATATTTTCAACCTCAGTTTTTATAAACAATCACTATTTGAGGATAAATGAAAGAAAATTGATGTACTATCTCTCTCTCCTTCCCTCAAAGTTCAAGAAAAATCTGCTGGTACCCTGCTGAATGTTAGTATGTGGAGTGTGGAATCTCATTCTTCAAATGAAAAATGCCAGATAATCAGATAATAATAATAAATAATCAGATAAACAAAAAAAACATTGTAACCATTGGGCTCTGCTACTTAGAGTGCATTCAGAAAGTATTCAGGCCCATTTCATTTTTGTCAATTTTATTATGCTGCTGCCTTATAGTACAGTTGTTGAAAATCATTTGAAAATTTGACAAAAGTGAAGGGGGTCTGAATACTTTCTGAATGCACTGTATGTTTCCATATTTATAAGGTGACCAACTGTCCTCCTTTTGGGAGGACAGTCCTCCTATTTTGAGTTCTGTCCTCCCTCAAAAAGTGTCCTCCTAAATGTCCTCCTTTTCCATATACCGTCCTCCTTTTGGGAGGACAGTCCTCCTTTTGTGAGTTCTGTCCTCCCTCGAAAATGTCCTCCTAAATGTCCTCTTTTTCTATATTTGAAGACTTATCTGCAGGGCTTTTTTTTCCTCATAGAACGCCCAGAAGGCATTCCGGGACCTTTTTTTGATGTTTTTTTTTCAACTTTTGCCTGAACTGTGCTACTCCCCCTATTGGCTTTCGAAAGCCAATAGGAATTGCTGCTGAGCGCACCAAAACACCCAGGCGGCAAACTTTGCACGTGCAAGTTGCAGGAACTTTGCACCCCTCACTGCTACCCAACTACACCATCTCTTACTTAGTTTCGCAGATAGCTGGAGGAGACTGGAGCAGTAAGTTTCTCTTGATCTTCCCTGTTCGGTTCTACATGGGGATGCACAGGGTAGGCGGTGGTGCTGGGGGGTGGCTACAGGGTCGGAGCCAGCGCGGCTGGTGTTTTGCGAGCTGTGGGGCCAGCTCTACCGGGATGCGCAGGGTGGGCAGTGGTGCTGGGGGGCGGCTGGGGGGACAGCTGCAGGGCCGGAGCAGCTGGTGCTTTGCCTTTGCGAGCCGTGGGGCCGGCTCTACGGGGATGCGCAGGGTGGGCGGTGGTGCTGGGGGCAGCTGGGGGGGGTGGCTGCAGGGCTGGAGCTGGCGCAGCTGGTGCTTTGCCTTTGCGAACCATGGGGCCGGCTCTATGGGGATGCACAGGGTGGGCGGTGGTGCTGGGGGGCGGCTCAGGGCCGGAGCTGGCTCGGCAGGTGCTTTGCGAGCCGCGGGGCCGGCTCTCCATGGCAGGGCAGCAGTGCTGGCGGGGCGGCTGTGGGCGGGGGCGCGGCAGGCAGTTGACCTTCCATGGGCCGCGCCAGCTGGTGGTCTATGCAGTGCTGATCTGCGCTGCCACCACCTCACCCTGCGCATCTACATGGCCACCCTGGAGCACCTGGCTCACAACACCTGCCTCCGCCACCCACCCCCGCACAGTCCAGCCGGGTAGATTTTTGGACAAGTGAGAAATCGAGATTGAATGTTGATACTCTAGCTGCAGCACTTGCCGTAAAATTCAATATGAAGGATATTTCTTGTTCAGATATTTCCAATATATTGTTAGAAGATGATACATTGACAAAAAATATTCATTCAATGGAAAAGTACTCATTTAAATAATTAATAGGCATGTAAGCATAATTACAATATAAAATGTTATTGTTACAAATGTTTTTTATTATGCATTGATCATATTATAGTGTATTCTGTATTATTGTTGCAATAAATACAATGTTTCTTTTATTTACAATATTTTTTTCTTCAATTTATTCGTGTCCTCCTTTTTGTTGTAAAAAAGTTGGTCACCTTAATATTTAAGATCAGTAGAATATATCTTAGGCAAGACGATGCATTGATTCCCTGGAATATTTTCTCTTCACTGGCTCAGGGAAAACTCTTTTGACCTTGTGATTTGAAGCTGAAGCAGAATAAAAGTCTTTTGGCTTAACGAGTTTTTGGACGCCTTTCGTTCTTTTTCTACAATTATTAAACTGTTTCCTGGAAGAAAGCCTCATTTTCACGGGACCTGCTGTCTGGAGGAGTAAAGTCTGGATAGAATTGAGCATTTAAATCATAAAGGTCCCCGTAATTTGCGTGTGAAGATTGTTTTGCGCTAAAAGACCAACGGTTCCAGCCCATAACAATATTCTAAGCTCCGTATTCTGACTGACACCACCAGCCTGCGTGAACATGACTTCATGGTGCAAGGCCATGATGTCATGGTCAGAGTGCGGGCCACTTACTCGCATCGTCGCGCCGTTTTCTGACCAGCCTGATCTTGCGAGGGGCTGCCGAGAGTAGAGAGAGGGTCCTCTGCCCGCTCTCTGTTCTCCTTCCACTTCCCTTGGCTGTCAGGGCAAAGACCCCTCGGTTTTATTGAGTGGTGGTGCCAGAGGGCACTGAGATCACAGCACCATCAGCAGCGGCGAGCAAGCAGGAGCAGCAGCAATAGCAAGTAGCGCTGGGGGAGGAGTTTGTGGTTCAGGGCGGATCCCGCAGAGTCGCTACTGGTTGCTGGCCGGCTTAGGAGAAAGAGGAGAAAAAAAGGTTGGCCGAGCAGCTGGGCGTCCTTGGTGCTGGCACTGCCGCCCGGGCATGAGGATGGCTGTCGGCGCAGCAGCGGCTCCAGGAGATGGAGGCTCGCCGAATCCCGGTCCCGCTGCGGTCTCTTTGGGCTTGAGCGTGGCTGTGGTGTCCAGCCTGGTCAATGGCTCCACGTTCGTGCTGCAGAAAAAAGGAATCGTGCGGGCAAGAGGACGAGGTAGGGCCCCCTGGTCCCCGTCCCTTTCTATGCTTCGGGCTGCAGCAGAAACACTCTGCTGTCTTTGCAACAGCTAGCATCCTCTGCGTGGTCTCCCACTTCGCCGAGCCCACCCCGGCTTTCGTGCGCCGCCTTTCCTGGAGCCCCTGCTACCCTACACGGAGGTCATCCTCAGGGAGCGATTAATCAAAATATTTACCAAATCCAGGCCTCGAGACGGCCTTTCCCGATCAACACAATGCTTCCAGGGGTGTCGGACTACAACTCCCAGAATTCCCAGTACTGGCGCTAAATTGGGGAAGGCTGCTTTAAAACAGATTGTTTCGATCCAAGGCATTATCGTTAGTTTTAGGCAGTATCAGACATAAGTATTTAGAATGACCATTGCGAATACACCTTGCAATACTCCTCCGATTTGGGTCACCACCACGACGGCTAACCCTTCAGCTCTCCAATCCAGCCACACCCCCTTTATTGTTTTCTTCTTCAAGTCTGTAATAATATCTGTACTTTTTCAAAAGTCAGTGCTTTTATGTCTGCATTATGAATGTAGGCACTTGATTTGCAAAAGGATTATAACTGAGCATGAATGCTAAATAAAATCTTTCAAATGTCAGGGGCCAGGGGTTCAGGCAGCCTTTTCAAGATTTCGAATGCTATTTGTCCCTTATTCCAGCAGATGCTACAGCATATTATTGGTTCAGTTTAAGCTTGTAATTTGCATTTATAATCTGAATTTATGTTTTTTTAAAAACAAATTAATACCAAGGAATTTCTTATGGAATCACTGAGCTTGGACAAGACCATTTACACCAGTGTTTTTCAAGGCAACTTTTAAGATCATGCTAGCTGGGGAATTCTGGGAGTTGAAGTTCACATATTTAAAGTTGCCAACTTTGAGAAACATTGGTTTAGAATGTCAGATCTAATCCATTCAGGAATACAAAAGAAAACATGCTAGGCAAAAGGTTACCCAGTTTCTGTGTGAATACATCTAATAAATGGAAACCCATCACCTCTCTAGAATAATTGATTCCATTTTCACATTGCACATATTATGAAGACATTTACCTGGATTGTACCTTCCTGTAATTTAAACTATGTTTATAATCTAGATTCTTATAAAACACTAAACAAAAACAATGGTATACCATATCATAATACATTATGTAGATCTGATCATAGTTTCAGAAATGGTTTGCTAAGTGGCACATAGAGGACTTTGTATTAGCAAAATACACAGAATTCATCCGTTACTCCCAAAGGGCTCTAGCCATTTGCACTGTTCTTTGACCTTTGGTAATGATCATTATGAATCCTCAATATAGCAAACATGCAGGCCCCCAAATCCACATTTAACTATATTTCTGTTAATGGGCCTTTTTTCTCATTCACTGAGAAAGGACTATATATTCTTGTAGGAATGCCTAAATTCTGCTATATTCTGAAATCAGATATAGACAGAAAGGTGATAGTTGAATTTCTAATATAAACACTTGCATGCCAAACTGGTCTTTGGGGGAATACTTGCATTTAGTCTATGCCCAATTTTGTTACAAGGCCATTAAGTTCTGCATGCCAGAGCAGTCCTACTCTACAGTAGACTTTACAACAGATATGTCAAACACAAGGCCCTGGGGGTTGGATGCTGCCCGCAAAGTGGTTTCATGTGGCCCGCGAAGCCATTCTGGAAACAGTAAGGGAAACGGCTCCCGCTGCCTTGGCCCTGACCCAGGCCGGCCTGGAGCCAATGTTCAATTTTGTGATGGCCATCTATGCTGAAACACATTCAGTCTTAGCTCCACAAGGCCGTGTAGAAACAGCAAGGAACCAGCCCCTGCCGTGTTGGCCCCGCCCCCTGGGTGCATGCTGGGGAGGTGTCACCCTTTGTGAGGAATGAAGAAATGGACCATGCCTTGGCGCTTGCCCCCGTCCCACCCCCTTCTGCCAGAGACCCTCAGATCTGTCCCACTCCTGCCCAGGCCCCCACAGGCACCTTTGACGCGAACAATGTAGAGCTGGCCAGTTATGTGAACTAAATAACTTTTAACCATCTCCAGCATGCAATCTAAACCCAGTTTAGTGCTTATCTTGCAGTTAAGCAATTATATGACTTTTCTAGGAAAATGAGATGGGATAGAACAGGGTTTTTCAACTGGCGGTATGCGTAGGACGGGTTGAAAAACAATGTAAAAATGTAAAAAAAAAGTGTAAAAGGGGATGAGGTGAAGTGGCAGCAGCGCTGCACAGGCTTGTGGTAAAGTCAGCTGGAACTGCACATTGCCTGGAACTGCACATTGCCTGGGTCCTACTGAGAGGCCAGGATCAAAGTGCGCAGCTCCAGCTGATTGGCGGTGGCCTTGGGGATAGCAGCAGCCTCAAGCAGTCTTCAGTGGAGATTCCGCTGGAGCTGTGCGATGCACTGCTTGGGTCCCCCCCCCACGATGCCCTCACCTCCCCCAAGCATTTTTTTACTTACCTGCTTTCAGCAGCATTCCCTTTATCCTGTCCTTCTCAGCCTTCATGTGTTTGTGAGACAAAAAAAAAAGTTCCATGAGACTTTCTAACTTCTCGCGAGAAGTTAGAAAATCTCATGGAACTTTTTTTCTTTTTTACCCACAAACACGTGGCGAAGGCAGAGAAGCAAAAGGAGAAAGGGAGTGCAGCTGAAAGCAGGTGAGTAAAAAAATGCTTGGGGGAAGCAAGGGCATCTGGGTGGGGGCAGGGGCGCCAACCTTACCCTGCATGGTGGCAGAAGGATTAACAGCGGGCGCGGGGGGGGGGGAGGAGGAGCTGAGCAAAGCAGGCAGATGGGAAGCCGGGCAGATTGTGGGCGTCGGCAAACGAGATGGGCAGGGGCGCGAATTGGCGTGTGCTCAGAAATGCTGATCTCGTGTTCCTGCTCATCTCGCTTGCACAAAGCTGTAAAGTTTACAGCACCACCTTTTGGGAGGGGGGGAATAAGAATGGCAACTGAGCAGGGCAGAATTGGCAGTTGCACGTCGTTGCTCCGACCACCGTTAGAGGGCGTGGGGCCCTCTCCAGCAAGGCCCTGCCCGCCCTTCCCACCGCTCTCATGGCTGCCCTCCGGTCACTGGGCTCAGCTCTCATCTGGAGAGCAAGGCCCGTTTTCACCCGCAGGTCAGTGCAGCGATGGGGCTGGAGCCCAAAAAGCACCCCTTTGCACCCAGGGAGGGGCTGGAGCTGCTGCAGCTGCATTTTGGCTCAGTGCTGAGGAGCTCCCAGGGTCCAACCTAGTGCTGAGGCTCCGCCGTGCTCATAAAAGAAATGCCCAGGGCTGTGCGTGGCTCCGGGCTGCAGCTGCAGCAATGAATGAGCCGCTTCCCTGCTCTTTTCTGCAGCTGCGCGCAATGCACCAGAGGGAGTCCAGCAGCCGCAGCTCTTTCCCCACCCCCATATGCTCCTCCGCTGCCTGCACTCTCCTCCTCCTGTGGAAGAACAGTGGCTGTGCTGGGCTCCCAGCTGCACCGAGCGCAACCGCAGCTCCTTTTCAGAGGAAGCAGCCAGGGAGAAGCAGCGGGCAGGAACTGCAGCAGCTGCCATCACACAGCCATCTGGCTCAGCAACAGTGGCAGTGGCCAAACTCCAATTGCCTCCTCCGGGCTTGTTTATGCCCTCCCCGCTCCCATAGTGCTGGACAATGGGAGGAAGGGACAAAGAGAGGAGGAAGGAAAGGAAGGGAGGGATAATGGAAGGGAGGGAGGGAAGGAGGAAGGGACAAAGAGGGAGGGAAGGAAGAAAGGAAGGAAAGGAGGAAGGAAGGGATGGTAGGAGGGAGAGAGGGAGGAAAGGAAGATGCCCATGCCTGTCCCACCCCCCTCCACCAGAGACTCACAGATCCCTCCACATCCCCACCCACATCCCCCACAGGCACCCTGCAACCTGAGTGATTAGCTGGCTACACCCCCCTGGCCATTACTTTCGCTTTTCAAAAAGTTGCAGAAGGTGATCACATGACCCTCGGACACTGTGACCGTAATAAGTATAAATCGGTTGCCAAGCATCCGAATGTAAATTACACGACCCTGAGGATGCTGCAACAGCATTAAGTGTGAAAAATGGTCATAATTTGCTTTTTTCAGTGCCGTTGTAACTTCGAACAGTCACTAAACAAATTGTTGTAAGTCGAAGACTGCCTGTACTTTATCATTTTTTCCTTTTTGGGGGGGTCAAGTTTTTGACACCTTGCTGGGTGACTGGTGGTACTGGGATATTGCCTTATCCTAAAAGTGGTGCAATGGGTGAAAAAGATGAAAGCCCTGGGATAGAAGACCAATATCAAATTATAACCACATATGCAGCAGCATCTCTGCTGTTACTGCTTCGTTAATTCTTGCTGATGTGTGTGTGTTATTTCCAAAAAATTAATTAATGGCATTATATATAGATACAATATCAAGCACACTGGGCAATATAAAGTTGTAACTGATTGGTTTTCAAGTATTTTATCCTTGAAAATCCCCCCTATCGTAAGATATAGGAATAATTCAGTTAGCATAGAAATATCAAATAGCAATTTAAAACCAGAAAAGTATTATTGTTTGTAAAAGAAAAATCTATTTGATTGTTTGCTTCAGGAATCCATTGTATTTGATTTATACAAGTAGCTAATTATTTGGAGCTCATGCTGACCAGCTGGCAGTATTCTCTACTCATCTAGCACTGGGGTCACCAACCTGTGGTCCACGGCCCACTACCAGGCTGTGGTCTCTTGGCCACTGGGCTGCCTGAGTGGCTGACCAATGCACGTGCATGTGTGCGCTTGCACCCCCCACTTGCGCCAGCATTGTGTCGAGCGTACGCTAGCAATGCCGTGAGCATCGGACAGGCACTAGTGTTGCCATGAACACACACCCCACTTGCCCAAGCATCGTGGCGTCGCACAGGCGCTAGCAATGCCATAAGTATTGAGCGGGTGCTAGCGTTGTCATGAGTACAGCCCCCATTCATGGTAGCATCGTGGTGTCATGCCGGCGCTATTGTCTCTGCAAGCACAACATCCCCACTTGCACTAGCATTGCGGCATTGCATGGGGCTAGCGTTGCCCGAGCATCGCATGGGCGCTTGTGGCCCTGTTTGCGTCACGTGTGCAATCACGGCACTGTTCGTGCATGCATAATCCCATTCGTATAGGTGCGTGCTCACATGCATAAAGGTGCCTCCACCCCCCACCCCAGGCTGTCAAACCAGAAAGGTTGGGGACCCCTGATCTAGCATATCTAGTTTGCATTTTCCACAATCACTTGTGATAAATTCATGTTCCACTTTTGCTCTGTGTAAACAATTTGAAACAAAAAAGTAGGATTGGGTTTTTAAAGAGCCTATTTGGTTCACTTATCATTGTTTTGTTTTCTTTTAAAGATTATGAGAGTAATAATTGCTATGCATCAGGTTTTGACAGCTTTTTAAAAAAAGAAATATAATTCGGAGACTAGCAATAACATAAGAATTTACTGGATTGAAATTTAATCCAGCATTTTGTTTACCAAAGTGGCCACTCAGGTTTGCCTGGACTTTGTAAACAGAACATGGAAACACCCACTCACACCCTGTTATTACTTTGCATTTGAAATACAGAGGCAGGGTTCCTCAAACCCTTCATACACATTGAGTCTTCAAGACTTAAAACAGGGGTACCCAACCTTTCTGGGTTGGTGGCCTGGGGTGCGGGGAGTGGAGGCATCTTTACACGTGCGAGCATGTGCATGCGGAAACGGAGCCGTGCGTGCCCAAATGGGGCTGTGATTGTGTGCATGATGCAAATGGGGCCACGAGCACCTGCACGAAGCTCGGGTGACACTAGCATTTGCACAATGCCATGATGCTAGCACAAGTGGGAATGTTGCGCTTGCAGCGACGATAGCATGACACCATGACGGTAGCGCAAATGTGGGGTTCACTCATTTTTCAAATTAACCATCCAATAAGTGAACAAATACATTCTACTGTATGTTTTAACTCTCCATCCATTGGATGATTTCTTGTCCTATTGTCTTGATAGAGGGGGGAAATAGATTAGTCCAACGTTAACAATGTCAATTTTACAAAGAAGAGCTAGCCATTCACATTCACATAATCAGAACTGATGAAGCTTCTTGGATGAGAAGCAAATTTTTTTCTTCTTCTTCTTCAAGGGAAAAAAAACCCATAGTCCAGTTGCCTTTGGAAAAAATATCTTTGAGACAACCATGACCTGGATGACTGAGAATCTCTGTAGACATTCAGCTATTCACATTAGTTCACATTCATATTGGGCTTCATACTTTTCCTTATTGAATACTTACAATCTGCTGTTTTAACTGCTCATATACTGAAATCCTAACAATGCAAATTTTGGATAAAAGGTGGAAGTTGGGTTCTGAATAGGCAGCACCAGCTTGGAAATAATTGTTTGTGCTTTCCAAAATACCTTCCAGTATTTTCTGTACTATGCAGAGACTGAGGCACAAACCAGCAGTTAGGCAGATGTGCTTGTGGAAGATTCATCTCCATTACCATTTCTCTTCATTTCTGTAGAATAGGGGTCCTTAAATTATGGCCCGCCTTGTCTTTTTATCCAGCCTGCCTCAACCTCCTGGGCAAGCTGTCCAATTGCAAGGTGAGGGTGGGTGGATGGTGGCGAGAGGCCCAGCCAATGGCGGGATGGCGAGTTGGTGAGAGATATTTTTTTCCCAGTTTCTCCCTTGTACGCCCAAGTGCGTGCTCGTGCTTCAGCCATGCCCCCTTCCTCTCCTCCTCTCGTCTCTTTGCGTTTTTACCTCAGGGCCAGGCTGAGAGGTTTAGGCCTCACTTGCAGCCTCGGCCTCATTTAGGGCAGTCAAACCGGGCAATGACGATGTCATTGCTTCTGCTTCTTCTGAGGCGGGTCCCTTGCTAGGTGCTACGGAACACGAGCTCCAGCCTCCACTGCCAGGCAGTTATTCTGCCCTGAGACGGTCCAGAATGCCAATCAAGGAGAATATTTCTGGCTCAGGGTTAAAATGAAGGGTCCTTGGGGGAGGGTCTCTGAGGATGGTGGTTTTCTTGCAGACATTTCAGAATCTAAAGTGGGTTAATAAATGAACTGATGATGTTACCTAGTTTGGGTCATGAGATGTCTACAAGAAAGCCATGAAGCTCAGAGATGACCAAGGAACTCACAACTGCCCTCCTCCTCTTCTCTTCTTCTCCTTCACTCCACAAATCCTCTCTCTTCTGGCACTGTTGATGTTACCTTAGTTTGGGTCATGAGATGTCTGCAAGAAAGTCACCAAGCTCAGAGAGCACCCAGGACTCCACAGCCGCCGTCCTTCTCCTCTTCGCAGTGTTCCAATATCTCAGCGGCTGCCACAAAGAAGAGGGTGTCAAGCTATTTTCCAAGGCGCCTGAAGGCAGGACAAGAAGCAACAGGTGGAAACTAAGCAAGGACAGAAGCAACCTAGAACTAAGGAGAAACTTCCTGACAGAACAATTAATCAGTGGCACAACGTGCCTCCAGAAGCGATGAATGCTCCAACACTGGAGGCTTTTAAGAAGAGACTGGACAACCATTTGTCCGAAATGGTATAGGGTTTCCTGCCTGAGTAGGGGGTTGGACTAGATGACCTCCAAGATCCTTTCCAACTTTACTACTACTACTACTACTACTACTACTATTATTATTATTATCCTCCTCCATTCCACAAACCCCGCTCTCTTCTGGTATTGCTGATGTTACCTAGTTTGGGTCATGAGACATCTGCAAGAAATGCTGAATGGAAATGGCATCTTGTGTTTCTGACAGATGTAACAGAGCTACTAACAGTTTCAATGTGCAACTTCAAGGAAAGGGGAAGCTCATCTGTGATATGAAAGCATTTGAAGTAATATTGGACATACTCATTAAACAAATGAGGGAGGAACTCTTCCCACAACTCAAAAACTATTTGTGGAAAAACTAGCAGTTACATTCCCCCCCAAAAAGTGTGGATTCACTGGAAATGTTGTATATTTTCTTCATTTAAAAATTCATTCAAATAATTAACCAATCATTTTTCTTGTTTCATTTTTTCATTTTATACTTGATTTTACATTGTTCTATAACCGTGGTGGCGATCCTATGGCATGCTTGCCACAAGTGCCCCAGTTCTGGGCCTTCAGCTCAGTTTTATAAAACCTTTTCGCTTTAGGCCTCCACCGCCATGTGCAAAAAAAAAAAAAAGGTTCAATCAATCAATTTCAACTTCTCATGGGAAAAAAAAGATCTCACAAAGTTGGAATTGATTGAACTTTTTAGTCCCACCCAGTCTGCCATTACCACCACAGCCACGCCAACCCAATGGGCCATGCCCATCCAGCACCCAACGATATATAAGTGGGTTTTGGGTTACAGTTTGGGCACTCGGTCTCTAAAAGGTTCGCCATCACTGTTCTATAATCATTATTTTTTTTCAAATTATAGTCTGGCCCCCCACCAGTCTGAGGGACAATGAACTGGCCCCTTACTGTAGAAGATGAGAACAGATTATCTATTGAAAAGACCTACTAAGATTACAAAAAATATTTCAAATTTTAGAAACAGGTGTAAAGATTATGTTACATTCTATAAGAAACAAAATATCTATGCATTTTTAAACAGTTCAAATTCGGCTTTTGCATGAATATTGAAGGCATAGGTAAATATATGTTTATATCCATGTCTCATTTAATGAGCCTCAATAGTGATCCTTAAGAACAATTTTAAAAATTATTTTGTGGTTTTGAAAATACTTTAATCCCAATCATGTGATTTAGGGCAAGGATAAACTAAGTTCATATCTATTTTCTTAAGAGTTGGATTACTAATAACCATACCAGGGACATGACTGATTATCTTCACTAGAAGCAAACAATAAAAAGTAATACTAATTATGGTTATATACTCATGGTTATACAACAAATATTTGCATTGGTTCATGCACTTCAGTTAAATAACTCTGTAAGGCGGGGTAGTAGTAAAGTTAACATATTGTTGAAGCTATAGAAAATTGTACCTATAAAATATAACTTAAACTGATGATCCATTTTTTGATTTTTCACCTATCCAGGGACTTCATATTTAACTGATATGGTGTGGTGGTCAGGTACTATTGCTAGTAAGTATATCTTCTATATTTGAACAATTTTACATCTTAAAACCATATTGAAGGACTATAGTTTTCTACCCAGATGTGTTAGACAACAATTCTTATGCATATGATCAGCAGTGATGATCGTAACTCTGGTCCAATATATCTATTTAAAGAAAAGCTGCTGACATGTTCAGTCTAGGATACTGTTTCATTGGTATTTTTCATGATACTTTTCTTGCTGGCAGCATTCATTTCATACCACAGGATATGGTGGCTTTGGCTAAACTTTATACAGTATTCCTCTCAGGGAATATAATTTAAATATAAAAATTTTATCCAGGAACATCTATGGGGAGAGTAAAAATCTGTATAATTTGCCATTCAGCCATATTGGGTGATAATTGCTGGAAGTAATTCATATCGAAAATACATCTGGAGGAACCAGACTGGAGAAGGTTGAATCAGAATGTACCTGAAATCATCTTGTTAGATACAAAAATGTATGGGCAATGCATAGATTTTTTTTTTAAACAGTTACAGTTTTGCAATCACATTTTCTGAATAAAAAAAGTTGTTTCTCTAAATTTGTCATAGATTATTAAGCAGCAATATCAGAATGATTTTCCAATGCTTTTTTTTTCTAAAATACAATTTTGACTTCTGGTATAATTAACAGCCTTTGGATTTTGTGGTTTCTCCCATGCAAGTACTAATCAAGATTATTTCTGCTATCTTTTTCAAAATTAGCCAAATTTATCTAAATGGTGTCATCTGGAAATGAACTTGTGAAAAGAACAACAACAGCAACAAAAAACCTAAACATGATGGTGTAACAATTTAGATTGCTTGTAATTCGTTTTGGTTGGCTGATAATATTATAATCCTATGTAAACATACAGTAGATCAATTTGTTGATCTACAGATATATTGCAATTCCAAATTTTCTAATCAGGATTGCCTTGTAGGCTAGGAATGCCCAAAAAATGTAATTCAGGCACTCCTGGAAAGCACCAGATTGGAACAGGCTAAATTAGGTGCTAGAAAATAAAACCTTCAGCTAGCATAAAACGTATTAAGAATATACCAAAATACTTTACACCAATGCAGAATAGGAGTCATTTTAGTTCAATATCCTCTACACTGCCAGTATTCAGGATTATTTACCAGGAGAAGGCATCACATTTGCATCCATAACTATAAAATGGAAATATATATCCAAAATAAATAATGTATTGAGATATAAGACTAGTCAATGCGATTTTGTGGAAAGATGAAAATAGTACCCATTGACATCTGTGAAATGGCACATGATATCAATACATTATAGTATAATTGCACAAGTGGCAGGAATTAAATACTGTATGTCATTTGCATAATGATAATACTGGTGCAAAATACCTAAATCCATGCTATTTGCATACTTGAATTCATAGCCCTGAAAGTGTTCCATCTTGTTTTCCAGCATGATAGATGTAGCATCCACCAATGGGTAATCAAAACCTTCCTGCTCAGTTTAGACTAAGACCAAACTTTAGCCACGCCTCCCTTGGGCGGTCCTTTCCCAGTTTTGTCTTAGTCTCAGCTCAGTAGGACACAATTTTTGTAGCTCCTCAGTTAGGCTAATTCAAAATAGGTCTTTAGGATAGAGAGAAGAGACATCTGGCACTGGAGAGAGAATTCTCCAAAGTTCAATGGCTCAGATCCAGCGAAACGGAAGTGGTTCCCCCTGCTTCGCTGGATAATTCACCATTTGAGCCTCTACTGGTGCTGTCTTATCAGGCTCCCCGAGCTTGGTCTCCTCAAGGGGGAACTGAACAGGTCGGTCTCCCTCCTCCTATTTCTTCACCTCCTCATTCTGATCCTTCTGTTCCGTCTGCTACCATCATTCCACAGGCTCCTCAGGCCACTGCGGCTGGTGTTGGTTCAGCAGAGCGAACCTTATGGGCACAACAGTTCCAGACCTTTATGCACCAGGCCTTTGATCAATTTATGTCATCTTCCATGGCACAGGGGTGTCCACAGTTACCGCATCCTCCACCCTTGTCCGTAGGTCGCACTGGGCATATCCAGTCAGCGGGCTCGGGTATTTCTGAGACTTCATCTCAGCTAGGTGAGGCTAAGTCTGTGGACCTGGAGACAACTGACATCCCTATGTCTGAGGATGAAGAGGTGGCACCGGATCCGACCCCAACATCGGGTCTTTTTGATCCTTCTCTATTTAGGTCACTATTGTTAAAGGCCTGCACCACGGCCAATTTGGTTACAGAGCAGGAGCCTAAACCGTCTACCTCCACTGCACAGAAGTCTAATCCTTTTTTTGCGATACAGGTTGTGGAGGAAAAACAGGTTCCTTGCCCAGCTGTTTTCCACACTACGGTGGAGAAGCAGTGGACTTCTTGGCCACACTACCTCCGCCTAATAGTACAGAAAAGAAACTGTTTAATGCAGTGGTTCTCAACCTGTGGGTCGGGATCCCATTTGGGGTTGAACGACCATTTCACGGGGGTCGCCAAACAACGCAGTCCGCCATTTTTTCCCCTTTTCCTTAGCTGTGCTACTCCCTTTTATTCTATTGGCTTTTGAAAGCCAATAGAATATACTCTCTTGAATAGAGTCTAATTCTATTGCTTTCAAAAGCCAATAGGAATTGTCCAGGCTGTCTCTGCCCTGCTGAGCCCACCAAAAGTCCCATTCTGCAAACGGTGCTGGACCAGTTGAGTAGTCCTCGACTTACGACTGGTGGAGTAGTCCTTGACGTATGACTGGTTGGGGGTCGCGGCATTAAAAAGGTTGAGAACCACTGGTTTAATGTCTCATCTACATTTTCTTCCCTCCTAGAGGTGCCTACAGTAGACACTCCCTTAACCTCACTGTTCTCCACATCCACGATTCCTGGAGATATGGCGGAGCTCTCAAGGCGGAGGATAAAATGTTCAAGTTTTCCCTCTGCAGAGTTCATCAGGCCTCAGCCTGGGCAATCAAGGCTGCAACATCCTCGTCCTTTTTCGCGAGGACTTCCATTATGTGGCTTTGTGAGTTACAGGCTCTAATTCCTCCGGATCAGGTGTGTGCACAACAGACCTTAGGTAAGCTGGTAGCTGCAGCGGAATATATGGCAGATGCATCCCTTCACTCAACCAAGTATTCCGCTAGATCTATAGCGGCCATGGTAGCATCACGCAGATTGTTGTGGCTCAAACAGTGGAGGGCTGACCTTAAGTCAAGGTGGCATCTAGCTACAGACACCTACAGTGGTACTCATTTGTTCGGCCCGGTCCTGGAACCATATCTAATAGAAGGGAAAGACAAACAAAAGACCTTGGCTCACCCTTCTAAGAAGGCGGATAGGAAACCCCAACAAGAATTTCACAGGCAGTCCTTTCGTGCCGGAAGTTCTTGGGAATGGAGACAGCCCTTTCGATCAGGGCAGTCCTGGGACTGGCCCAGAGGTTCCCGATCCTTTTCCCCCAGACAAAATCGCCAACAGGACCGCCAAAGTTCAGGAACCAGGGGTCAGTCCCAATCTAAGCATCCCTTCAGAGGAGCTGGGGGTCGCCCATACAGGAAGTCTAAGTGACGCCAAATCGGATCCTCCTATAGGCAGTCGCTGAGCTCTGTTCAGCGACACCTAGGAGGTCACCACCACCGATACCTGGGTAAGGGAGACGATAAGATTCGGTCTAGCTCTAGAATTCAGATCCATTCCCCCAGACCACTTCATTTAGTATCCATCCTCAAGACACGCAAGCAAGGCCGAGTACAACGCTCTGCCCTTCGGCCTATCTTCGGCTCCTCGGGTGTTCACAAAACTACTGGCTGTATTAGTGGCTCATCTCAAGATTGATGCCGGTATGAGTGCAATGCTACCTGGATGACATAATTATCCAGTCCAGTTCATTCCGTTCTGCCCAATTAGACTTACAGGCCACAATAGAAACACTCCAGAGGCACAGCTTCTCCGTGAATTTCAAAAAGAGCCACACCACTCCAACCACTCGGATCTTACATCTGGAGGCAGCCATTCACAAGGGGTCACTCTTCAAGAAGCCTCACAGACTCATCCTGACCACAGACGCCAGTCTGTTAGGATGGGCGCACACATACAGACACACATGGCACAGAGTCAATGGTCCCAGTCCGATCTCACACACAACATAAATTGGCTGGAACTCAGGGCAGTACACCTGGCACTTCGACAATTCTCCAACATAGTACAGAGAAACACATCCTGATCATGACGGACAACGTTGCGGCCAAGGCCCATGTCAACAGGCAGGGAGGGACCAGATCTTGGTCCCTCATGCAGGAGGCCCTGGCATTGGGTCTGTGGGCAGAGTCCAACCTGGAGTCCATCAGTGCAGAACACATATCTGGGGAGGCGAATCGCCAAGCTGATTCCCTGAGCTGGGCAACGGTAGACCACTCGGAGTGGCGTTTGGATCAGACCTATTCAGGGAAATATCGGAGAGATTCGGACAGCTCCAGGTGGACCTGTTTGCTTCACCAACAAACACTCAACTGCCCAGATACTTTACGAGGTTCCGGTCACAGGGAGCGGAGGGAACGGACGCTCTCCGCAGCAAGTGGCCCAGGGGACTTCTTTACGCTTTTCCTCCACTCCCACTGATTCCAGCAATCATTCGGAAACTTCTCTTAGAACAGGCAGAATTAATCTTGCTGGTCCCACATTGGCCAAGACGACCTTGGTTTGCGTGGATCTGTCGATCTCCCCACCGTGGAAGATCCCACCAGATCGTATCTCAGTCAGGGTCAACTCCAGTACCCAGAACCACAGTGGCTTCAACTAGTCGCTTGGCACTTGAGCGGGAGAGCTTGTCCAGGCAGTCCTATTTATCTGGAGTGATTACTGTAATTCAAGCCTCCAGACGTCCTTCAACCAACAGGATTTATGATGCCACGTGGAGACATTTCTGCGCGTGGTGTAACACTCTAAAAATTGACCCGCTGACTGTCACCATCCCGGTCATATTAGACTACCTTTTGGAGGGCCTGAACAAAGGACTATCTCATAATACCATTTGCAGACAGATTGCTGCTTTATCCACCATGCTCATTTGTGAGAATCAGGTTCAGTTATCCTATCACCTGGTGGTTACAGCCTTCCTTAAGGGAGCCGCTAACACTAGTCCCCCTGTAGTACGTAGATATCCCACATGGGACTTTCCAAAGGTACTACAGGCCCTCAAGGGGTCACCATTTCAGCCCATTAGATCTTGCTCTCTACACTTTCTTTCCTTGAAGGTAGCCTTTTTGCTAGCCATCACATCGGCAAGGCGTATTTCGGAACTGGCCGCGCTCTCGGTAAGAAGTGACCTGTGTGTTTTTCTGGATGACAGAGTGATCCTCTGATTGGATCCTTCTTTCATTCCGAAGGTCAATACCTAGTTCCATAGGTCTCAGGATCTGGTTCTTCCAGACTTTTGTCCACTACCTTCTCATCACCTGGAAAGGTTGTGGCACACATTAGACGTGTGCAGGGCTTTGCATCACTACGTGAAGCGAACTTCAACATTTTGCAGGACGGAAGCACTGTTCGTATCCTTCCAACCTTCTTCCATGGGTTTGAAGGTGTCATCTTCAGCCATTGGAAGATGGATCAGGGTGTGCATATCCCATGCATATAAGGTTCAGTCTCTCCCGGTTCCTGCCAACATTACAGCTCATTCGACGCGTAGTGTGGCCACATCCATGGCCTGGTCAACCCAGGCTTCTCTGTGAGGAGATTTGTAGGGCAGCCACATGGTCTTCCCCCTCTTCATTTATAAGGCATTACAAGCTTGGTAAGTTCGCTGCGATAGATGCCTCCTTCGGCAGAAGGGTCTTGCAGCAGGTAGTTTCTACACACGAATCACAAGCCTAAACTTTCCCTCCTGACAGGGACATGGGTGGCTTTGGTATGTCCCATCGGTAGATGCTACATTTATCATGCTGGAGAAGGGGCGTTGTCTTACCTGAATGCCTTTTCTCAGTATGAAGCTGTAGCATCCACACCCACCCTTAACAGTCAGTCTAGGCAGATTTCTTACAGGAGGAGCTATTGTGTCAGACCTCATGGATGCTTCGCCTCGTCAAAACTGGGAAAGGATCGCCCAAGGGAGGCGTGGCTAAAGTTTGGTCTTAGTCTAAACTGAGCAGGAAGGCTTTGATTACCCATCGGTGGATGCTACATCTTCATGCTGAGAAAAGGCGTTCAGGTAAGATAACGCCCCTTCTAGTGATGTCAATCTTAATGTTGCTTACATGTAAAGCATCGAGAATCATTGCAGCTTCCTAACATTTTCATTTCGCTTTTGTCCCTCTGGTTTATCAGGGTTTCAAAACAAGGGGCCAGAAGCAAAATCAGCAACTCTGTTGCTTCTGAGTTCCAGAGCTATGGGTGCTCACCTTTTCCCTTCTCAACACCCAAACTTAAGAGATCATTAGCCAGCTATATTCAGCAATTGTCGAGATTTTTTGGGGGGTAGTGGTGGTAATATAGTGTTGTGATTTAAATATGGAAATACAGTGGTTATGGCTTTAATGACAGTGCCATCATTCTTTATACTTCTTAAGGCTAAAAGAAAAAATACCTTCTTCTCACTATTTACTAGTTTTCCTACCCATGAATATAAAGGACAATCATACTATTTAATTAAAATGCAGCTAGAGAAACACACAACAGGTTAAAACAGGAAGGAAATCATACAAAATAAAACTGCCAAGCATGAGGTAATAAAGCAATAAAATGCCAAAACCCTGCAGTCTAAATCAGTTGTTCCAAAAATAATGAAACGTTTAGTTTTGTTTTCTGTTCACATATTTGTGTTTTTTTCCCACAGTGGCGCTTGGCCAGATTGGGAATTTCTTAGCTTATACTGCAGTTCCTACTGTTCTGGTGACTCCACTTGGAGCACTTGGAGTCCCATTTGGGTAAGGATTTTTTCTGTTCTGCCTTGTTTTCCCTTTCTTCAAATCAAACTATCCATCTGAGTATCTATATTGTATGCAACTATGTTCAATTTTCTTGCAATTATTATTTTTACTAGTAGTGCCAATAAGTGTTTATTTTTTTATCTGTTCTACTGATTTGCATTAAAAATGACCTATTTTTTTCCCCCTTATCTTCCCTTTTGTTCCTTATTTTAAGGAAAAGACATTAGTTGTTTTTTAGATTTCTTTCTATCCTCTGAAATGTGCAGATGAAGCATTTATTTATTTATTAAAGAAAGCCATTATCAAAGGTTTACTGTTAATATGGACAGATGTTTATATCCCTAAATACTGAAATGTAAAATATGCACAAACCACTCAACTACTTAAATAAAATGTCCTTGGATTCTCAGAGATCCTGACTAAATGAGGTACATCCTTTGAATTTTTCATTTAATTAAGTGGCTCTCTTGGTGTTACTTCATGTTGTGGAATTGTATCCAGAGCTAAAAACTGATTCAATCCCCAGAAAGTTACATAAAGAAGACAGAGTGATATTTCTAGGACTTTGTCTCAGATAGCTAGCTATCCTTTCTCAAATAAATATTTAAGTTAATGTCCAGATATTATATTCCTTTGGGGCATTTTTGTCACAAATGGCACTGTCCTCTCTCTATCCAAAGAACCATGAAGTGATCCTCAAGGGCAGGTGGGGTTTTTAAAAAAGGTTTTACATCTCTGATGCTGCACAATCATGTTGAATCTGTTAAGAAAACATATCCTGTATAAGCAGCTGCAAGAAATGTTCTGTTACTTAAAAAAAAATCCCACATGTAATGTGCAGGAGAGATCAAGTCAGAATATTTTTCATTGATACAAAATGCATCAGGGAAGCACTCCTTTCCTATCTTGCATTCCCACTTGCCAGGCCAAACTCAAGTATCGAAATATATCCCACGTTGCTAGCTGGGGAATTCTGGGAATTGAAGTCCACACATCGTAAAATTACTAAAGTTGAGAAACAATGGTTTAAACCAATGAAGAAAACTACCTTCTGAAACAAACACTGTTGAATAATTTCTTAACCTGCAGCAAGGACTTCCAAAAGAGTGATCAAACTGTGAAGAAAATGGCCACAACTAAATAATATATCTTTATGTGTATCATGTAAAAAAATGGTTAGGATTTCCATCACATAGTTGCTACTTTGATTTTTGAACTCTCCTTTGTGGATAGTCTGCCTTACAGCAGAGGTCCCCAACCTTTTGGGCACCAGGGACCGGTTCCGTGGAGACAGATTTTTCCGCGGACCAGAGGGGGTGTGGTTTTGTGTGCTGCCTGCATCTCGTGAATGGAGCTTTGCTTGTTTGTGCAGACCAGTTGTTGGCATGCCGCAGCCTGGTACTGGTCCTTGGACTGGGGGTTGGGGACCTCTGCCTTACAGCACAGAACACCTGATTGAAATTTTCTCTTTGATCCTCTCTCTCTAAGGTCCATTTTAGCTTCCTATCTACTGAAAGAAAAACTGAACATTTTGGGCAAATTGGGCTGCCTCCTGAGTTGCGCAGGTTCTGTTGTTCTCATCATTCATTCTCCAAAGTCTGAAAGTGTCACCACTCAGGCTGAGCTTGAAGAAAAGCTTACAAATCCAGGTATTTAATTCTTTGGGTTAACCATGTTGACAAGTAAATCTGAGTGACAAGACAAAAATGAAAAGAAGCTTAAGTTGCTCCAATGTATAATGTTGGCTTACTTTGTATTTCCTGCTGAACAACTTTTTGTTGCCAAAGGAATGCATCATTTTTTTTCCTCCTCTTTCATCTTTAATTATGGAAACTCATTTGTTCCACAGTCCTAAGCATAGCTACCTTTTTTTAAAATTACCATTGGGAAATAAGTTAGACTTACAAGTTTTCCAATAGCTACTGTATAAGACAAGAATAACACAAAAATAAGAAATAAAATTTAAAGAAAAAATTACTTAAGCTTAAAATAAGCTTGTTTTCCTACTGGGTAATTTTTTTTATAGAATTCATTAAATAATAAAGAATGAATTCATTGTACTTCTGTATAATTTCAGTCAGTGGGATTTAAGCAGTTTTATTACTTGGGGTTATAAATAAGTACTATAAATGTATACATTCAACCAAGGAAGGTTGGAAATTAAAATGATAAATAATGGCTTTGGATGTAAAATTATTGTTAGAACTCATAGAATAAAGGAGAATGTATTTTCTCATATTTATTTCAATGTACTTTAAACACAAAAGAAAGCAATCCACTGGTCTATTCCAATTGTTCTTGGGATTACTGCTCCCAGATTATTAGCCAAAGAGCATGATAGCTGGAAATTCTGGAAATTGTACCTCCAAAAGGACTAGATTGGAGAAGATCTAAATTCAACACAGTTGATTCAGTAGTGAGCAAATCACTGACTGCTTCCAAGAGTAAACATGATTAATAAGCTGTTTGTGATTATCATAGAATGATAATGCAAACTTTGGACTATAGTTTTATCTCTCTGAAGAAATTAAAAAATAAAGTGATAGTCTATGTTTAATTACTTTTGGTTTCAGACAATTTCCAGATAAAGGCAGAGTTAAAGATCACAAAATTACATTGCTTAAATATGCCTGATGACTGACTTGCCCATGATAAATAATGTGGAAGATAATTTAAATGTTCTCTGCAGATCTCTGATAAATAACATGGAAGATAATTTAAATGTTCTCTGCAGTATACATATAAACAAAAATATGTATTTTGAAAGAACATTTTTCTGAATCAAAAGCATAATTTGCCTTGATAAATTAAATAACAGACTGTCAAAACCAGGACCACAATTTAGGATTACATACCATCGTTTGATTCAGATGAAAAACAATAATTTAAGAGAAGGAATGAGCATCTGCAGAAAACCTCACAGTACTTCCAGATATAATCTTTCCAAACTTAATCCTTTTCAAATATGTTTGTGTATAGTTCCCGTTACACTGACATGTCAGCTGGAGGACATTGCAGTCTAAATACCATTAAGATAGATAGAATTCTTTATTGGAGAAGTGTGATTGGACACACAAGGAATTTATCTCCAGTGCATAATCTCTCAGTGTACATACAAGCAACAAGTGATAAATCATGATCATAATTATAAAACACTATTATCATAAAATATATTCAGTGATAGTCATAGGATATTAAATAATCAACATAAATCAAAGCAATCAGCACAAATCATGAGATGCAAACAACAAAGTTATAGCCATAAAAAGCTAAGGAAATAAATAGGTAATAGGGAAGATGAGAAGTATAATAGTAATAGTAATATAGCCCAGTTAAGTGATTGATGATGACATTTATTGCAAAATACAATTTGGAAAGTTATCAAGATAAAGCCAGTGTGAGTTAACGTCATATAAACAATGTGCAGTATGGATCATTGTGACTTCTAGCATTGGGGTATATATTATATAATATAGAATTGTTTTCAAGAAATATTATTTGGTTGAGCGTAATTATGCTATTCTTTGTTTTTCAGTATTCGTGGGTTACCTCTGTATTGTGCTTCTCATGCTGCTCCTACTTATCTTTTGGATTGCACCAGCTCATGGACCTACTAACATTATGGTTTACATCAGTATTTGCTCATTGTTAGGAAGTTTCACTGTGCCTAGTACAAAAGGAATTGGACTGGCTGCTCAAGATATCTTTCACAATAATCCATCAAGTCAAAGAGCATTATATCTCTGTTTGGTTCTGTTAGCAGTATTGGGATGTAGTATAATAATTCAGTTTAGGTACATCAATAAGGCACTAGAATGTTTTGACTCCTCGGTGTTTGGTGCTATCTACTATGTAGTATTCACCACTCTTGTCTTGCTGGCCTCAGCCATTTTGTTCAGAGAATGGAGTAATGTTGGTGTTGTTGACTTCTTGGGGATGGCTTGTGGGTTCACCACTGTATCTATTGGAATTGTTCTTATACAAGTCTTCAAAGAATTCAATTTCAATATTGGTGATTTGAATAAGCCTAATATGAAGACCGATTAAATTCTTAATGTTCAAGGGAATTGGATAATCCAGAGAATGATAGTGTCTTCAATTTTTAGGCCATAGAAATGATAGCCTTTAATTTTTAAACTTTGAGAATAATATCACCTTTCATTCCTTGCTAGAATGTGTGAAATGAATTAGTGTTCTTAATTCAATTTCTCTAAGACTTGTGATTTATAAACCTCATAGCAAGTAGGATAAGAATTGCATCATCACAGAAGCTGATGTATTTCTTTATCCTTAAACATCATCTATGTAGTGTAGGACTGAATTATTTTGGTCTATGAAGAACCAGGAATCTTTTCAAATGATTATTCAGAATCTTCTGATTGTGTGAATCAACTGTCAACATTTGTGTTTACAACTGAGCAGGTGCCATGAGTGATCAATAGCCCCTTTTAAAAATGTAGATACACTTCAAATACTAGAAAGGGTTGTCTTTCTATTTACCTTCACAGTTATGATTCAGATTTTAGTATTCTTACAGGTGTATTTGAAGATTCCACAACAGTTACAACTGTGTATTGATATGGTGTGTTCTTTCTCTACCTTTGTAAATTGGACTGTGACATGGAATTCATAATTATGTCCCAAACTAGATATTTATATCTCAACATGTGTTCTCTCTCATACCAGATGAAAGTTGCTCACAAATCTAAGTAAATATAGCACTTAGTTGACAGCTATGCCTTTTGTTCACATGAATCACTTAATGTATGTCAATGCATTATATTAATTCAGGAGCTTATATTTAATATAAAACAATGTAAGGAATGTGTTAGATCATAACCACTTTCTACCTTTTTTGGTAGATTATTTGTAAACAGCTGGAAACTACTTCAGTGCCTTTTCTATTCTAATGAGATCACTTTCTTGGAGTGGTTCATATTCTCTAATATTTGAATGTCCTCATGCTTATCAATTTAACCAAGCAGAGAGACACTAATATATTTGAATTATTGTGGGGTAACTTCTATGCACTTCCAGCTAGTGTTTGTTTAGAACAAAAGTATTCTATTACAGTAATATTCAGTTAAGTTCCCTAGACAGTTTTCCCTAACAAATTCCAGTAAACTATTGTGTAGCATCTTTTATCAGGGTTTGAACTGGCACTTTTAGAATTAAACTAGGCATTACGAAAGGAATTTGTAAGCGGAAAGAAAAATGTTCTTCGGTTGAGGGGAAAATATCTAGATTTACTAAGTGATTCTTCAGCAAGGCCTAGAAATTGTTCTCACTCACTTGGAAGAACAGAGAGAAACAATGGGACTTCTGTTTCCACGATACTTGGGTAACCTTAAAAAGTGTGAACTTCAACTCCCAGAATTCTGGAAGTTGAAGTCCATACTTTTTAAAGTTGTACTAAGTACAAAAACCTCAGTATAAAAAACTGCTAAGTAAAAAGAACAGAAACGAAGAGTTGACTTTTTCCTAGATAATTAGATTTGATTCAATAGCTATGAGTCTGTTTGCAGGTTCCTCATTATGACTTGAATTAACAATAGTGGTCTGACATAGAAATAGCAGTTTTGTGTCAGTGTCAAAGAAATACTGTATAAATAGATACATGAATACTTTGCAGATCAGGTTTTATTTATTATTCTGTATGCTCTTTTGTTGAACTTGTAAGCATGCATTACTTTTTAAAATCACTGCATTTGAAGTTTCTGAATTCAGGAGGCACATGACCAAGAAATGTTTGCCAAGGGAACAAGAAATAAACCATGCACCTAGTACAAACTCTCCCCTTATATATTGTACATTGGGATGTCATGATGCAAGTAGAAAATATTGACATTTGTGTCATTATGTCATGAAACATTTTGTTGTTTTGACATCATCAGAGTTAGGAACAGACACCAACTAATGTCATAGGTGTCAATCTGCATCTTCAAGCATTTTTAAGCATACAGTACTTTATCTTCACAAGTAGTTTCTGACAATAACATTATTTGCAATGCAGCCACAAGGTTGTACAGAATGGTTGTTTTCTCAATATGCACAACCAGTATAGAAATCTTATGATTCCTTTTAAATTCTGAAAATTGCAAATTGGAGATGATTTTTCTAAAATAAAACAGCCTTTCGCATGTTAGGGATTAAAACTGTTTGTATGTATGTACAGTATATATATTTAAAAGATTAAAACCCATACTAATAGCTATTTGAACACTTGGAACATTAAATATATGAGAGGACGTTGTGGGGGCAGCCTGAATGGGGCTTCTTATTCCCTATAATGGACACCATGGGAAGGAAAATATGCATCAGAATGTAGCCAGTCATAAAACATCTATTTTACAAAGAGCAACTGGGAATTCATTCCTTCTACCACACTGTGTTGTTCCTACTATTCAAGCTGTCTTTTGTTTTTTTATAGATGGGTAGATATGCTTCAGAACAAAGCATTGGCCTACAGTCACAGACCCGTTTTTATTTTCTAAGATTACCTGTGAGACTATGTAATGGACTCAGAGAGATTTCTTTGGAAATAAATCATTTTAAAGTCTGGCTTTCTTTTAAAAGAAAACACACACACATACAGTCAGATGGGGCAAAGAGCCTGCTAAATGCCAAGGTAAGAGTCCATAAACAGATTGGCTTCTTCCCCCCCATCAAAATGATTTAGATATTGGGTCGTGTTTGAACTGGACAGACCCCTTTCACCCTGTACATATATGGGTAAAGGACATGCATGCTATAAATTCAACAAAATGGTAGTCCAAAAGTAACTTGTGAAGTAACCTTTAATCAATTTTAATCTGCAAACACTGGTTTGGCTTGCTTATTTATTCATTTATTTAAGAAATATCCATTTTATCTTCTCCCAAATGGTTTTAGGTAGCTTACAAGGCAGTCATTATTTCTAAAGGTCATTAAAATCTTCCTGCAATGTGTGGCATGTACAGAGAGGTTAGAACACAGCTCCGCTCTTTCAGCCGTCTCCTGCGGCTCCCTGTCCTCAGCCACCATGTGCAGTCTGAAAAAAAAAGTGGGACTAAAAAAGTTCAACCAATCAATTCAAACTTCTCATGAAGTTTGAATTGATTGGTTGAACTTCTTTGGTTTGTGGGACTGCCCACAACCTCTTTCCTTCTTCGTACTGCACGTGGTGGCGGGGAGGATTGCTGGAAAGGTGTCCCTGGTAAGGAGCCGCAGGTGGCTGGTCTTGGGGTGCCTCTTCCCTGCCCGCCAGGTCTCCCTTTGCCCTGCTCCGCCGCCGCCTGTTGGGGTCACCGGGGGTCTTCCGGAGCTTCCCCTCTCCGCCTGTGCCTTTCGGCCGTCTTATGGGCAGCGGATTCCCCTGCGGCACCTGGTCGGCCCTTTCCCCACCTGCTGCACGGTCCTCTTGGCTGTCCTTCTGCTGCCGCTGCTGCCAGTCGCACTGAGTGAGGCCAAAGTAGCCATGCCACTTCGCTGTCCTCCCGCTGCCGCCGCCCTCAGTGCTGCAGGAGAAGGAGGCCTTGGGCTATGGGGGCAGCAGCCAGGCCGGGGGCAGCAGGGAACCCCGACGATGCTGCAGTGGCCGCTGCTGGGCCATGCCGCCATCACTGGAGCCACTGCCTCCCGTCCTGCTCCCCCTCCCCGCCTGTTCTGCTGAGGACGCGGCGGCCAGGCTGCGCTGCCACCACCAGAGCCACTGCCTCCCGTCCTTCTCTCTCCTCACCTGGAGAGAGAGAGAGGAAAGAGAGAGGAAGAGAAAGAGAGGAAAGAGAGAAAGAGGAAAGAGAGAAAGAGGAAAGAAAGCGAGGAAACAGGAAAGAGAAAGGAAAGAGAAAGGAAAAAGGGAGAGGAAAGAGAAAGGGGGAGAGGAAAGAGAAAGGAAAGGGAAAGAAGAAAGAAAGGGGGAGAAGAAAGAAAAAAAGGAAGGGGAGAGGAACGAGAGGGAGAGAGGAAAGAGAAGGGGAGAGGAAAGAGGGAAAGAGGAAAGAAAGAAAGGGGGTGAGGAAAGAGAAAAAGAGGAAAGAGGAAAGAGAAAGGAAAAGGAGAGGAAGAGAAGGGGGAGAGGAAAGAAAGGAGAGGAAAGAGAAAGAAGAAAGAGAAAGGAAAGAAAGAGAAAGAGGGAGAGGAAAGAAAAAGAGGGAGGAAAGAGAAAGAGGGAGAGAAAAGAGAAAGAAGGGGAGAGGAAAGAAAAAGAAGAAAGAAAAAAGAGGAAAGAGGGAGGGAAAGAGAGAGAAAGAGACCCTTTTGACATATAAAATGAAGATAACACTACATATATCCTTTTTTACCTTTATTTTATACACACACACACACACACACACACACACAAACACACATGTTTTCTGAGATTTTCGCGGGTGTATGTAGTTTGCTTCATGTATGGATTGGAGGGCTTTAAAGTGGCTAATGATGCAGCTGTGGTCTGGCTTCTGGTTTGTGGTCGTGCCTCATCATCGGTATGGGTTTGGGTTTGCTTTTTGCGTGGATGTGTGGTGGTGACATCCTTTGTGGTTTTCGTGAGTGTGGGTCTGGAGTCATTCTTTGTGTTAGGGACTTGTTTGTCAATAAGGGCGGGTTTCCAAATGGCTGGTAGGTGGGAGGTATCATCTTGTTTATTCATGCTGTGTGGGCGTTTTTCTATCTCGGTGGCTTCTCTGATTATTCTGTTATTAAAGTGTTCAGTTTTGGCGATAGTTCTGCTCTTTTTAAAGTCAATTTCATGTCCTGTGGCTTTAAGGTGTTGGACCAGGGAAGAAGTTGGTTCCTCTTTTTTGACTGAGTTCTTGTGTTCTTCAAAGCGTGCACTTATTGTTTTGGCATTGTCATCAGCAAACTGACACCCACCATGAAGATGAGGCACAACCACGAACGCGAAGCCAAACAACAGCAACGCAGCTCACCATCTCAAATCCTCCTGCAATTCAGATTAACCTGAGCACAACAAAGCCCCCACCCAAACAGAACACTCCACCATCCAATCAGAGCACCGCCAACCCCCATCCAGAGCACAGCCAAGCCCCTAACCAATCAGAACACACCTACACCCAATCAGAACACAGCCAAGCTCCCACCCAATCAGTTCATACCCCCACTGGCAGTTAAAAGGAAGAAATGGCTACGATCACACATTGCTCCTAGAAGCACGAAGCCAAAAACACCAGCCTGAAGATGACAAATGAGACTTTGTCGAAACGTCGCCAAGACACTTCCAATTTTACGTGGGAGAAAACCCGAACAACCAAAGACCTACATACAAATACCCGCGAAAACCTCAGAAAACATATATATATATATATAAAATACAAATTAAAAAAAATAATACAAATAAAATACGATCACCAGGAGAGTGTAGGTATAAAAATATACTTTACTAAAAAACCGCCGAGCTTTTGTTGGGGACTACCAACATCATCAGGGCTAAAAAAGCCAGTAAACAACAATGACTCAAGTAGGTTTGACTGACATTTGCACCCGGCTCTTGGACCGTGTCACTGGCCCTGGCCGGTCAATTTGTGTTCCAGATGTTTCTTTGTTACTCTCTTTGCGTTTCCTTCTATCCTTCTTCCGGATCACTCTTTCTCCTCCTCTATTACTAACACCCAAATGTATTAACACCCTTTCATCCTCTTTTCTTCTAATGGCATTAGCTCTCACTTCATTCCCCTTCCTGTTGTCTACTTCGGGGGTGTTTAATTCTCCTCTACCACTGCTGTAAATCTCACTGGGTTCTAGTTATTTCTTCGTGTTTCTTTTGACTGCAAATTGATGTTTTCCCTCTGTTCTATGTCCTCTTTTCTTTCCTCCTTATTCCTACGAGTAATGTTTATACAGGCGTTATATGTTTGGGCACTCATACACTCATCCCCCACTCTGGCGTTTTCTATGTCCACCATTTTCCGTTGTTTTGTTTACTGCGTGAGCGAGTGTTTATAATGTATAAACATTACTCGTAGGAATAAGGAGGAAAGAAAAGAGGACATAGAACAGAGGGAAAACATCGATTTGCAGTCAAAAGAAACACGAAGAAATAACTGGAACCCCAGTGAGATTTACAGCAGTGGTAGAGGAGAATTAAACACCCCCGAAGTAGACAACAGGAAGGGGAATGAAGTGAGAGCTAATGCCATTAGAAGAAAGGAGGATGAAAGTGTGTTAATAGATTTGGGTGTTAATAATGGAGCAGTAGGAGGAGTGATCCGGAAGAATGATAGAAGGAAACGCAAAGAGAGTAACAAAGAAACATCTGGAACACAAATTGACCGGTCAGGGCCAGTGACGCGGTCCAAGAGCCGGGTGCAAATGTCAGCCAAACCTATTTGAGTCATTGTTGTTTACTGGCTTTTTTAGCCCTGATGATGTTGGTAGTCCCCAACAAAAGCTCGGCAGTTTTTTAGTAAAGTATATTTTTATACCTAAACTCTCCTGGTGATCGTATTTTATTTGTATTATAAACATGCCCAGGAGTCGTATTTTTATGGATATCATTTTGCAGCTCCCAGTGTTTTGTTTTCGGTGGGAAATGTGTCCAAGTGGCTCTGAGTGGTTTGGGTTGCCTATCCCTGGGTTAGAAGAAAGGCATTAATATGGAGGAGAGAAAAATGTTTGAATCTCTTTGATTACTTGAAGAGGGTTCTGCTTGAGCTGTGATCCATTCAGTAGGTATCATGCATATCAGAGAAAATTCTGAATGCTTATAGCAATGGTGGTGAACCTATGGCACAGGTGCCAGAGGCACGGACGTCATCGCCCCAGCCCCAGCCCCATCATTCCCCGTAGCCCCCTCCTCACCAGCAGCCCCCCAGAGGAGAGTCGCCCTGGGCACAGCCTGCGCAGAGCAGCACAGCCAAGGACATGGCAGCTGGGCAGCGGAGACAAGACTCCGCCCTCGCACCCCATCACGCAGATGCTGCGGGGCGCGGACAGAGGGCATGGCCACCATGACGTTGCTGGGCTGCCTGGGCAGGCCGTAGAGGTAGTGGGTGGCCCTGCGGGCAGGAGAGGCAGGGGCAGAGTAGGGGCGAGGCGGTTTTTGGGCACTCGGTCTCTAAAAGGTTCACTATCACTGGCTTATAGCATTTTGTTCCAAGAAGTTGGTATGGGCTTTTAGCTCCTGCCCTTAATTAGTATTCATATTCATAATCAGTATTATTACTTAAAACTTTTCCAATCTTACTTTTTAAACAAAATATGCTTAACAGTCACACTTTATTCTAGCTTTTCGGTTTTGATGATTTCAGTTTTGTTTTCTTTGACATATTTAGGAACATGGTTTGACTTTTCTAGAAATTATCACAAATTACAGCTTATTATTTATGTCACTTTTCCCTTTGTGAAGAAATACTTAGCCTAGCATGTTGTATTAATGCACATTTAAAATTGTATACACATTTAAAATCTTCCAGCTATTCTTTATTGATTGAGGCATTTACTGGGACATCTTGGCTGGGATAACTAATATTTGTTTACAGTGTTAAGAAGGAAATTACTATCCTCCAAATAAAGCTTCAGGGCAAAACTGTATTTGTAAGCAGTGATACAATTTAGAGGTCGTTTTGGTTTATATGTAACATTAAAGAGTAGAATCTTGTTTTTACAAGTTAAAATGTTTTAGAAAAACTATTACAAAATCTTAATCTAAAACGATTAAACTATTAGATGACATCTACTAGCCAGCCAGCCCTAGCTATGGCAGCAGTTAATTGAGGACACTGTAACACATTGCACTAAACCACATATAAAGTAGTTAGTCTGGCTTTGGCTTCATTTGTATGAACTAGTCATCATAACTTATACAATAAACTTTGAAACAAACTGTGGGTATGTGCCCTGTACCATTCAAATTTCTTTGTGCTATTATTACTCTTCAGTAAAGCATTATAGATAGAGAAAACTTTTTGATAAGGATGACATATTATTTTGTTGTTTATAATTTTGGTTTTGAGTTTGATGCCTTTTAAGTTGAGACAGCCTTATAGCTAGATTCCGGAAAGTTGTAATGTATATATTGGCATTCCATATAATTTATATCTGTAGCTTCTAACTTTTTAGATTATACATACTGTATAGAAATACTTATTTTTGCTACTTATTTTAACAAATAGTATTCTTTTTCTCCCTTTTGATTTTCTCTCTAGAATTGTCATCAATAACGATGATGTTAGCACTGGACCTTACTTCCATTTCCTGATTTTTTAAATGTATTTTTTTGGTTAATATTTTGCTATTTTTTTAAAATGCAGTGATTAAATTATTAGAATTTTAGGTATGGTATTCCATACTGGGCAATAAATATGCTAGTAACTCTTGAACTTGGTCTTCCTTAAACCTCAACGTACCCTTATTAGGGTATTACCTGATTCATATACACTGGCTACATTGATCACATTCATCAGGAGTAAACCATACTTGCCTTGTTATGGGAAATATGAGCCTATCTTATACATAATACTACACAAATTAGATTGTTAAGGCAGAAAGAACTAAAAAAGCACATTTCCTGCAGTTAAGACTTCTGCATTATAATTTGTAGGCGGGTTGATGATAGAATTAAAACTTAAAGGAATTCTAACTCATGATTATTAACAAGTTTTAAATGATCTCTGTGGGAAGCAGTATACTACAATCACGTACAATCTTAAAGCATTTCATTATAAAGTATAATAATGTATGAAAGACTCTTAATTCTCTTGAGTAGCATATTCCAGAGTTTAAGTATATAACAGT